ATGGTCTAAGCTTTAGGCAAACGAAGCATGTTGTGTCCAACACGTGTGACTTGGTGGTAGACCGCTGTTCACTTCAGCACCGGAGTGGTGGTGTCATTGTTCAGAAATGGAGATTTTGGGGGTCTTCGACTATCTGGGTATTAAATTATTGAACGAATCTCTGGTGAAAAGTCTACGCAAACATATTCAAAAGGAACTTGTGCAGAATTGCTTATTCCAAGATCCAAGAAGTGCCATGTGACTTTCGCTCAGGTTTAAGTAGTTTTTACCAGATCTTTGCCCTACTTCATATTGTTGAGAAATGGTGCGAGTCCTTTCGTCCGGTTTGTATTTGCTTTATAGGCCTGTAGAAAGCGTACGACCCGATTTCATTGAGTGGGATGAGTTGCCACTTGTGACAATTCAGGCAGTCATTCTACATTCGTACCCGGTGCTGCATCAGCGTAAATCGTATTAAGTTATAATATATCTGCAGCTACGTGACATGTTTAACGCGTTGTCTCGTGTTTTCTTTCTTTTCCCTCTAATTACTGGTACTTATGTATCAACTTTGGAATGATGAAATGTGAGACTCGAAGTCACGGCCTTTCATCTGTCGGTTTGACGATTTACCATCTGCGAAGTTCCTTTTTCTGGAGTCAATACGGTGTTGGAACAGCAGGGTGTTAATTTCAGCTTTTCAAGGCCCTTTCTTTGGTCTGTCATCGGTGTTCTACTTTTGAGCTAAATCTGTATAGGCTAACGACGACAGACTATGAGCACCGAAGACAGGGTTTCAGAGTGCTATATATTGTTTTTTTACCTATTTCCTATTCTCTTAACGAATAAGACAACTCCTTTTGGCAAAGTGATGCAGCTGATTGATGAATATTGTCTTTTTACGCTGTCACTAATGAAATAATGCGAAATTGCTTTCTCAGAGGCACGGTTTGGTATACGTCTTTAAGATGTATAATTTTTATTTTCTGTTGCGTCTGGTTCAGATGTGTTAAAGATCATCGGAACTTCTTAACGTGGCTCCTTTCCTGACCGCGTAGAAATAAGGTCTAGGTGCTTAACAAATGTACGTATTCTTTTAGATTCGGTGTGAACATGTCGAAGGAAGTGGTTATTCTAGTCACCGGTGGTACAGGACTTGTCGGCAAGGCCATCGAAACGGCAGTGAAGAAGGAACGAAAGGAACCGAATGAAAAATGGGTGTTTCTGTCTTCGAAGGACGGCGATCTGTCCGACTACAACCAGACGAAGGCGCTGTTCGATAAGTATAAGCCGACTCATGTGCTGCATTTGGCGGCGAAGGTCGGAGGGCTGTTTTCTAATCTGCAGAACAACCTGTTGTTCTTTCGCGAGAATATGGCCATCAACAGCAATGTACTGCAGTGTGCCAACGAATCCGGTGTTCAGAACCTGATCTCTTGCAGCAGGTAGGGTGCTGAAGTCATGCCAGTTTCACAGGTTAGATTTTTTGGTCACCATCGATCCTCTTCTTCAGCACGTGCGTGTTTCCGGACCAGTGCACATACCCGCTGACCGAATCTATGATGCACATGGGTCCTCCACATTCGTCCAACTTCGGCTACGCCTATGCCAAGCGCATGGGTGACGTGCTCAGCCAGCTGTACAACCGAGAATTCCATCGTCACTACATGCTCGCCATCCCGTGCAACGTCTATGGACCGTACGATAACTTCAACCTGCAGTCGTCGCACGTCATTCCCGGCCTGATTCACAAGTGCTACTTGGCCAAGCGAGATAGTAAGTTGTGCTGTTAATGAGGCAGACGCAATTTTTGGGTTTGACTGTCAGTTCACGTTTGCTTTTTCCGTCTCTTAAAAATCCGAGGGTATTTTTGTCACTCAAAGTGTTAGTCAATTTAAACTAGCAAGGTGATTTTGACAGCTGTGTTATGGAGAACAGGAACTTTATTACTACAGACCTTACCTAGTGATGACTGGGTAAAGACAGCTTATTGGTTGTTTAGATTAACTGACACTAATCGCCTCTTGCTATTCGTTTATCCATGATTGGAATTTATTAACCATTGTTGTTCATTTTATAATGTGAGATCTGGCGATACTTTCTTTGGTGATTAAAGATGGTTGCTCCCAGTCCTCGTATTAACATTATTGAAGTACTTAAAAGTACGGAATGCTGTTCTAAGTAGTGGCTAACATTATTACCCATCTGAACTGATCTCGGCTTTAGATGACGATGGTATTAACGAACAATAAGTTAAGTAACCTAGTTTGGGCTTGTTTGAGATGGTACAAGTGCTTTCTACTGCTGCTGCTGCTGCGATGAACATCCTATTCTTCGTTGAAAAGAATTATAGATGAGATATGTAACCACTGCCCAAGGCCGGATTTTACGACGTATTACACTGCCCCATTGCTCTTAGTTGCCTGGAGGCAGTTAGGCAGGCGATGGTTCCATCGATTTTGGGCGCCTGCAGTACCAGATGCACTCGCTTCATCTTATTCACTAAAGTCACCTCGAGATCATTACAAGCGATCTTTCAGGAACTTGTACTTTCTACATGCTAGGTAATGCCTGATATCGAATAGCTTCTCCGATACCAAATATCGCGCTGAAATGTACATTGTGCACTGGTCATACTTCATAAATCTAAATTTCTCTGTTGCTTAAACCCTACTGGTTACCGATGACGATGACAAAACAACAACAATATAGCTTAAACAGCAGAGTAGTCTAGATTCATAGCGTCGGACCGTTAGAAATGGCAACTCCAGATTGACGTTAGGCAACGTTCGCTACTGCGGCAAATGTCATATTCATTTTCTTAGGCAAATCTGCCTCACCGAAGTGTTCCAGCATTGTCTACGGCAAATGTACGATTCGCACCTGAGGAAAAGTTTGCAATTTTTTCCAGCTGATCTATCAAACTACGCAAGACGCTAGTCTTTGAATTGATTGGATGGTTTTATCTTCTCGTCGATGACTCGGTGGCACCATCGTTCTTTGAGAATGTAGCGCATGCAGCGTTGTTGGAAGCTCTCTAGACGACCTTACCTCCATGAAGCTTCATGGCGGCAGATGTTTCGACACTGTAGATGAGCACCGCGAATACGGTTACTTGCAGAAAGGTGATCTTCGCATTAGTTTTTATATTTCGATCTTTCTACAGATAGTGACTGCGGTCCAATACTTCACCCGTTCTTTTGTCCTTTTACTTGTTGCCACTGTTGTAACTGAGCTGTATCAATTGTGTTCATAAGTTTGTTTATAGCTTTATCTGTTTGTTCTTTCTGCCTTTTATCTATTAACTTGACACATTTTTTAAAAATTATTTCTGTGCTTCAAGCATTTAACTGATAGCTTTCCAAATACCGATTTCTTAGTTGTACCCATGGTCCCCCTTTCAAAGTAAGGTCCTAAACATGAATGTCTAGATCTTTAACTTGAATTTGAAA